TGTGTGCACGCACACACACACACAGATGAGTGAACACAAGAAATATAGAAAGGAGACATAAAGTGAGAAAGAAATGAGAAAAGACAGAAAAAATTATATATATATATATATATATATATATATTATATATTATATATATCATATATATAGATGATTAATAGATAATAGGTGATAGATTATAGAAGATGATAGATAGATGGATGGATGATGGGTAGATAAATAGATATGATAGATAGATAGATAGATAGATAAACAGATAGATAGATAGATGATAGATAATGTTTGCTAGATATTTGGCATTGTGGGGGGTTTTGTTACTTTTTGTCAACTAGACACAGATTATAGTCATGTGGCAGGAGGGAACTTCAACTGAGGAATTGCCTGTGGGTGTTTTATTTGACAAATGATTGATGTAAGAGGGACCTCCTGGGCAGATGGCCCTAGGGTGTATAAGAAAGCAAACTAAGCAAGCCATGCAAAGCAAGCCAATAAGTAGCACTCCTCCATGGCTTCTGCTTCAGTTCCTGCCTCAGGGTCCCTGCTTTGATGGACTATGGTGTGAAAGTGTAAGCCAAACAAACTCTTTTCTCCCCAAGTTACTTTTGGTCAGTCTTTTACCGTAGCAACACAGAAGCAAATGGGACAGGATGGGTATGTCCTTTTTCATTTCTCTCTCCTCTTCCCTTTGGGAAGAAAGCAGAAATATTATTTATTCAAAAAAGGAAGACTCGTGCACCATCTCCAGCCTATCTCTCCATTCTACACTGCAGCAGATGCAGGCCAACCTCAGTCACATGAACCTGAGAGACACACACACAGAGGCCTTAGGAACATGATTCCATGGAGGATAGACCCAGAAGGATAGGGGTCTTTCACCACCATTCAACTCAACCAGGGTTCTAAAACCTACTCTGGGTCTGGCAATGGAGGACACACAATCCAGTTGAATCCACTGCTGGCCCTATGGGAGAACAAGGACCTGCCACTTAGACATTGTATGAGCTATCACTAGACAGGCAATAGTGTGAGGAAGGGTATCCAGGGAAGGTGTTAGCATGGTTAAACATGGATACATGGGAGAAAATGGTATTTTCAGAGACCAGTTAGTATTCTTGCAGCAAGATCCACCGGAAGAAAGGAGAAGCTGAGAAACTTCTGGAAAGAAGAGCATCGGCCACCGGGGAACTAACATTGGGGCTGGGCAGATATGCAGGCCTGAGATTTGTATAGTTGGCAGGAGATGTAGAAGTGTGGCAGAAGTATGTCTTAGAGAAAAGAGCACAAGTGTTTCCCTTTCTATAATATTTGTGAAAATAAAGACTGCTCTGGACATAAGCAAGTGAGAGTTGAAATATAGGGCTCCTCAACCACAAGGTGAATCTCCTTTATTGTTCACTGTTTAAGGAACAGGAACAGAAATCTTCAGGCAAAGAGTGACATGGGAACATCAGCATGTTAGAAAAACAACTCGTCGTCATGCCTTGTCATCCTATAAGATGACATCAGTCACATAGTAACCTGAGTACCACAGACAGGGTGTACAGGTAGCTGGGACCCACAGAGACCTTGGTTCCCACACTGTCCCACTCAGAGCAGAGGACCCTCCTGCCTGCTTCATGTCATCTCATGGGCATGGACAGTGTAACCACACTGTGTATTACAATGATGCACGCCCATTTGGCAGTGCCAAAGGGCACATCTTGACCAGATACTGCCACTTCAGAGCTCAGGATAGCCCAGGATACTACCTCACTATATCCCTGAATATGGCTACGACTGGCCAGGTGCAATGACAGGCCAGAGCAGCATGGCTCTGTGTCACCTCAGTTGTTACCCACAATTCTTTTCTTCTTCTCTGGCTTGAGATGGTGATGGATTGAAGAACAGTTGATTCCATGCCCTAGTGAGGCACAGAAAACAGAAGCAAGGAGGCTAAAGAAGAAGAGTTTCCACAAGTTCAAGGCTAGTCTGGGCTACCTAGTGACTTCCAGGTCAGTGGGAACCACAACATGAGGCCACATCTCCAACACCAAAACCAAACCCAAAAAGCAGCACTAAGCCCTCAGCCACGAAAGCTTTCAACGAGTGTGCCATGTGGGTGCTGAAGCCAACACCCTAGGAGTGTGGCAGGTCTCATGCCATCTCCCACTTGAGACCTTGGTGTCCTTGGCTGTGTAATGCAGTGGGAATGATGAGTTTTACCTGGGCTATGGATGAGAAACAGTTCAGAAACTTTCTGTCACACTCCCTACAACTGTAAAGTGCTCCTAAATAATAACTGTAGGTTATAATCAGCAGGGAAGGATGTGCAGAAGCCCAGGAGGGCCCTCTCAAGACCTGCTTCTTGGCCTAGAGAAGCATGGGAAGGTGCAAGGCTACCGTTGACTTAAACAAGTTCCTTCTTTACATGAAGAGAGGCCAGTGGGAGGCACCACACATGAGACTGAGCCATGCTGGTTTTCCAGGAGCTTTTTGACTGGAGGTGTGTCCTGGAATGTTCCTGCTGCCTCAGCTCTTGATTCCAGGCTGTGTGTTTGCCTCCCCAACAGCATGCTGTCCAGTCCAGAGGGCCACTGCATGCTGCTACACCACTCAAGTAGGGGAGAGGGCAAGATGGTTATTTGCTTAGACTTGGGAAGCATGCAGTTACTGAACAGGCGTGGAAAAACTGCTCATGTGGATTGCCATGGATTTCTTTTGCCAATATCAACAAAAACAGCATCATTACTAATGTGTAGAATCGAAGTTCATCTTTTCAGCATGACTCATAAAAAAATTTTAAAACCCTATATAATTAAAACTCCTTAAAATAAAAATGTTGATTCAGAAAGCAACACAAACAATATTACAGGTAGCACTGAAACCTAGTATGAAAACTATTTTTTCAAAACTATTTCAAAGGATTGAATGGTCAAGGTACAAAAAAATTTATTTAAATTAAACATTTTCAACAAATTAATATTCATAACTGTTCCATGCATATGCAGTTTTCTTGAAAACAAATGGAACAGAGTAGCTTAATGTCTGTGATACTGTTTCACGAGATTATTAATATCCATCCGGGACTGGGCACCAGTCAATCATATCATCAACAATTCACTATTTATCACCAAGTGGTATATACAGTGATAGCATAAAGATTAAGTATATCTTATAAGTGATTTTATAATAAGACTTCTTGGGGGGGGAATCTGTCAACAATACAAAATATAAGGTGGACATAATGGCAGAATATAAAAACACATTTCATAAAGGCAATAATAATACACACGTGTCCAAGGGCAGACAAGAGTCTGTTAGCTCAGTGTTAGGTTGTGTTCCTTCAAAGGAGGCTTAGGGGATGGAAATGTCTGGGGTGGGACCAAAGCTCAGAAACATCTTTGGGTGTCACAGTGTGTTTGTTTGGGACAGCCAAAGGACAGTGGGATAGTTGAATTGTTCCGATGTATCCACTTGAGGGAAAAGAACCAAGTTCCCTTCAGGGGACTTATGCTTGGGATTTCAAGTGAGGGGCCCTTTGAATTAGGGGTCAGTTTGGAGGGAGAGTAACGGTGAAGAGAGAAAAGCCCTCCTGGGAGCAAGAGGCAGCAGACATCGGGAAGACAGTCATCCTTTGCCTCTGTAGTTAAGGGTATGCTACAGCTTTGCTTGAGAAATCGGCACACCCCAAAGCTGCTGATGTGTAGACAGATTCTTTAGGTTTCTAGCTCTTTGGTTCATTCTGCAGGGAGGTGCTGGGGCTTTGCTACACTTGAAAGAGTCTAAATCTGGCTACACACCTTGGGGCATGGAAGCAGGGAACATGCCTGCATAAGGGCGTTTCTCTCATGCTGTAGTCTCCTGAGATGTATGTAACAGAAACAATGTATCTAAAGTATATATATTTTTAAAAATTCCAGACTGAGTGTGGTGGCACTTGCCTTTAATCCCAGCACTCAGGAGACAGAGGCAAGCTTAACTTTGAGTTTGAAGCCAGCCTGATCTACACAGTGAGTTCTAGGACAGCCAAGGCTAACCAGAGAAACCCTGTCTCAGAATGAAACAAAGCAAAACAACAAGTTTGAATCTGATTTTGCTTTCAGAGGTGCAGTTGAACAAACTAATTTCCTGAACCAGGGTACATGTTTTCCTTTAAAAAAATTACAGTGTGTGTGAGTGTGTGTGTGTGTGTGTGTGTGTACGTGCATGTGACCATGCTCAAGCACACATATAATTCAGGGGAACACATGCATTCAGAAGTCAGAATACAACTTGCAGGAGTCAGTTCTCTTCTTCCACCATGTAAGTTCCAGGAATAGAACTTAGGTCTTCAGGCTCAACAGCAGGCACTTTTACCCACTGAGACATCCTACGCCATCTTGCCAGCCCAAGGGTGAATATTTTTCTCAACCGGAGGAGTTTCTTTGGAAATCTAGGATGGCTGTGGATGGGGTTATAGGAGAGCAGAAAACTTGAGTCCTTGGGCAGTCAGTGCACATGAAGTCCCTGGGAAGCTGCCCATTACTGAGGTCACACTTTCCTTGGCCTTGAAAGGGCTGTAACTTGGAGATCCATAGAACAAGGGCTTGACTATGAAGCCAACCTCAACTGTACAAGAGAGAACAGTCAGGGCTAGTCACGACAGAATGGGGTTTTGCCAGTTAGAGACTGAACTGAGATGGACCCCAGGCCCAGGGTCCTTCTCACTGGGAGCACCACAGATCAGAAGTAGCTACACCAAAAGCAGGAGGTCCAATGCACTAGGCTTGTCTCCACCAGCTACACGGATGGTATAAAGTGTCTAGAACATCCTATTGCATACAGCTCCCAAGGCTGTGCTTCCAGGGGGAAGCCAACAAAACACATTTGAAGGGACAGAAGGGGAGCTGGATCCTGGCTTTTGACCGAAGGCTCTGGGACAGCAGTTTTCACCTCTTGCCATTGCTACAGTTTCTGCTCTCCTCAGTGCTTCATAGGGAGGAGAGGATGGCAGGGCTGGGCCTGGCTCCATCCCTCCAGCTCTATGACACACTGTAGCTGTTGTAATACGTGGCCGTGGCATCAGCCAGGACGGAGATGAGGCTGGTCTCTGTAGGGCCTGTTGGAGTCCCCTGGGAGAGCGGGGCATGCCCAGTGAGGGTTCCTACTCCTGCAGCAGAGTCAGGGTGGCCAGGAGTGTTCAAATACTGGTCAAATTCATTGCGATCCATGTCCCCCAGAAGTTCTACCTGACTTAGCTGATCCAAGGTGTCAAAGCCAGGGTGCTCAGGAGGTGGAGACAGCTGGCCCAAATGGGCCTGGAGGTTGGGGTGGAGAGGGTGGTAGGTGGCATGGGAGTAGTAGGCTGGAGATGGGGTACATCCAGGAACAGAGGACATCATAGAGACCCCTGGGGATTGGCCAAGGGCCAAAGAACCTAGAGGGTGGGTGCAGTGAAGGGGACTAGGTGTGAACTCCGGTGAGTAAGGGGGCCCTGGTAGATGGGAGAGGTGATGGGGGTGGCCATGCTCCTCCTGACATGAGGACGAGAAGAAGGTCTGCTCCGGCTCCAGTGCATCCAGGGGTGACATCTCTGGGGGTGTGGGCAGCCCGTAGGGATATGCGTCCACACTGCCAGGGGCAGCAGCTGCACCTTCGCGGTAGCAGCTGTGCAGTCCAGGCAAGGTGGTACCTGGGGAGTACTCACCCCTGTCCTCCTTTTCCCCCAAGGCCCCCCTGCCAATGCCATTTTTCTCAGGCAGCGTGTTCTGGTCACGAGAGAGGGAGCTCAGGAGGAAGCCAGGGTCCACACGCTTGCAGAGGCGCTTGCCTTGTTTCTTCCTGCGGGGCCGGTACTTGTAGTTGGGGTAATCCTGCATGTGCTGCAAACGCAGCCGCTCTGCCTCATCCACGTAGGGCCTCTTCTGTGACAGTGTCAGCGCCTTCCATGACTTTCCTGATCACACAAACCAGAAAAAAGACATGCTCAGACTCCAGACTGCTGGTTCAGCCCTTGCACCTGCTTCAGCTTCGTGCTTCTTGGCATTTCATGTGCAAACACCTCCAACTCTCACCCCACCCACTGGACCCCTCTCACAGCCACAAAGGACACTGCCTGCCTCTAGGCTCTTTTCGTCCCATATCTCACACACACACTGTGTGATCTGGGCTGAACTAACTCTTCCTGTTTGCATCACACAATGTTAGCGTCGTGGAGAAACATGCTTAGAAATCACCATCTCACCCAAAACCACAAGACGAGTCAACCATTCCAACCGTGAGAGTCCCAGGGAAGACCCGCCCGGCCCAATCATCAGCAACAGAGAAAAACAATCTAAAGACCACAATATTGACTGGGGTTCTTATATCCTTTAGGGGTCCGTTGTGTTTATTTGTGGCATTCAATGAAAATTCCCTGCCATGAAGGGATATCACTCTGTTTAGTAATGTATATACACGGCTCTTACGTGAGGTAACCCAGCTCCAGCCAATTGTGTCATCAAGAAGTAGATTAAAGACTCTCATTCAGGTTCATAAATATTATTCCTCACCTCTGCGGGTCAAATAGACATTGCTATGAAAGGATATAGGTATGGCTTGAAAGCTAATATATATTTTTTATTGGATATTTTATTTACATTTCAGATGTGATCCCCTTTCCCCATTTCCCCCCACCCAGAAAGCTAATATTTACACACACACACACACACACACACACACACACACACCACAGAGAGAGAGAGAGAGAGAGAGAGAGAGAGAGAGAGACAGAGAGACAGAGACAGAGACACAGAGAGAGAGACAGAGACAGAGATGCACGCACCTATGCGTGCACACTACCACTTCTCCCCATGGAGTTAGGACCCTTCGACTACAGCAGGGCAGTTACTCAGCCATAGCTCTCCACAGAGGCAAGCTCCCTAACTGCCTTGTATCTTGTCTCCATCTTTCCTACTATAACATGTGCTGCTTCCAACCCAGGGCTCGCTTCTCTCCTATAGGAGTGTCCTTTCTGTGTATCCCCACTGGTGCTAAAATGCTGCTCGTACTTGGTTTTCTAGTCATCATTCCCTCTCTGTCTGTTCCATTGTAATTGCAAGCACCTTGGTATCACTCCTCTTCCATCTTTCAATGGAACACAATCCTACTCCATAGAGTCCTGAGCGTCACTTCTAGACATTTAAACTGTTACAGGCTAAAATGGAGGTGAGCATCTGCAAATTTAACATGCTCTCCCATGACTCTAATGTACCCTGAAGTTTCAGATCCTCTAGTGAAGAGGACAAGGCATCTGGCCGTGTAAGCCCTATAAGGAAAGAGGTCATGTCTCCCTACTGGGTACAATCCACTTGTGGCTAAGCACAGGGTTATGTATGCCCTGCCCTGGTCCCCTCTGTCTTTGCCTTTGCCCACATCGGCTGGCTCCATGGGTCAGGGTGTCATAGGACACTAGGGGCTCAAAGGCAGAAGCTATCGCTGTCTGAATTGTTTCAATTAGCTGTCACTTAGAAGTATGTCTTGAGGAGTGTCCACAGCACCAGATAAGAGATGACACTGGTTTTCAAGAGGCCACAAGGCACTTGCAAGACATCCAGGATCCAGACACAACCCATGCTCTATCCATGGCTTGACTATAAAATGTAGCTCTGGTTCCCAAATGTACCCAGATGCCCTAGTCTTAATAAAACATGATTTTCACTTTAAATCCTAAATGTCTAATTTGTGATACACTTTTTCATTCATCATGCACTAGGCATGCCTTGCTTAATGTATTTAAATAATGAAATAGTTCACTCTCATCCCTGCTTTCCTTCTCATAGGCCAGAAAGGGAAGAAAGTTCTCAGGAAGAAAGAACAGGGAGGCTGCAGCTGCCCTGCTAGCAGGCGCTGAGGGGTCTCTACCTTAACAAGCAGTGAAGAGATGCTGTTTTCCCCTTGCCCATTCTGAGCTGTGCTCCTAAAGGAGGAAAGACAGTTTTTTTCTGCAAGATGAACCGCACACCCTAAAGCCTAGAGTTGTATTCCAGATAGAATTAGTCCACAGGAAGGTTCATCTCCTGTCCCTGTCCTCACCGCCCAAACAGGCAGCTTGGATTCTTCTGCAGGTCCCCCACCCTTCTTTCCCTTCTCACCAGGGCCTGCATTAGAAACCTGGTCAAAAGTAGGAACATTCTCTTCCACAACTGGGACTGAACCACAGAGGGATTCATAAAATTCATTTAGAAAGAAAACAATATAAGCTTTCAGGTAAAAAAAAAATTGTTGCAGATATTAGTCTATTTCTTGTTGTGCTAATAGAGTAGGGAATGAATATATGGGCTTATTATTTTGTTTGGAGGAAGGAGCCCCGACAACGGCAATGCTCATCATGCACGCTGGGCACACTTGGCCACAAGGTTGAATAAGAGGTGCTTGGAACCCCACCACTCTCACCAACTGCTTTTTGGGGCTTCTAGACAGCCAGAGGGCTGGGCCATCTTTCTAGGCCCAGGCCTATTACCAGCAGAAAGCCAGCCCTTGCTCTGTGACTCTGAAAGAGGAAAGAGCCCAGGCTCCTACGGAAAAGGGAAGGGCTTCCATCCCAGCGGGGTGGGGTCGAGGGGCCTGTATGCCTCTCCTAGAAGGCCTTGGTGCCCTCTGCAAACACAAAGTATTTTGAGGGGATTTTATTGGTTAGAATAAATAAGAACCACATTGAAGGATAAAGAGATTTGAAGTAAGGTGAGGTTGAAAGTTGTTTGGCTTCAAGATTAGTGAGGTGGCGGTTCAGTGGGTAAAGGTATTTACCACCAAGCCTGAAAATGTGAAAGTCTAATTCCTGGAACCCACACAGTAGAAAGAAAGAACCTACTCCTCACCTTCCAGATGTCTTCTGACACCCACACACTCACGGTGGCATGCGTGTGCATACATATACACACTAACACAAACACATTTAATATATGTGTGCATACACACATGTATGTATGTATATATGTATGTATGTATGTATGTATGTATGTATGTATGTATATTCCCACCTACCCCTGCTCTGAGCACTGGAGAGAACAGAAAATCCAACAGGAACTCGGGTTCCTTGGAACCAGCTTAGCATTTTCATCCCCATTTCTCTGGCCTGTCTGGTTCCAGTCAGGATTATCTGTACCATAACTGCAAGCAAGAAGCGGTGGGCTTCACAGACCCTCCCTGGCTGCTCGAAGTATCTTTTCAAGTAATCTACACTTCTGCGATAACTAGATAAGCGAATCGAGCCTATTCCAGTGTGCGTCTTTTGTTACTGACTTTTTTCTGTTAAATAGTTAAAAATACGGATGTTTCTCAGTGAGGCCTTAATTGACGTACGTTCGCTATCTTTTTCCCCGCGATAATATCTTATTCTGATTTCCCAGTCATACTATGTGAGGAGTGGAGTCTCCTCAGTCTTTCAGCAAACGCCAGTTCCACCCAGGATGAACGTATCTGCAGGTCTGAGTCGGTGAGCCCGAGTTCCAGTCCCCAGGATCGGCTACCGGTCTCGCCCGCCTCAGGGACTCGGGTCTCTGCTACGTGACCCCCGAGAAGGGACCAGTCTGGAGCCCCGCGCTGGTCCTACGGTTTCACCGTGGACCACTTAGGCCCTGGTGGTGTCCGTGCTCAAATTCCCCCCGCCCCCAGAACGGCGTTGTCACCCGCGCCATCCTCACACCAGCTTCGCGCCCCGCGCACTCACCCAGCATCTTGCTGAGCTCCGCGTTGTGCAGGTCCGGGTTCTGCACTGCCAGACGTTTCCTCTCATCCTTGGCCCACACCATGAAGGCATTCATAGGCCGCCGGATTCGGCTCTCCGAACCCTTGTCCCCTGAAGGTCGGGAGACTGCGGGCGGCGATAGCCCATCCGACAGCTCGGCTTCCAGGGCGGGACACTCCAGTCCCTCAGTCCACGGGTAGGCGCCCAGCAGCGAGGCCATGGCCGAACGCGGGTCACTTGGCTTCGCCTCGTGGGGCCAGCGCTGACCTGGCCCTCGCTCAGGTCGCGACGTCCAACTTGGCCAGCAGCCTCGGGCCGGGCCCTTATTTATCAGCTTCGGGCCACCGGGCCCGCCAATGACTCTCCGGGGCGGCGCGGCCCCTCCCGGCTGCCCCGCCGCGGCGTCCCCGCTGCGACCTGCCGGCAGAGGGAGGGAGGGGCTGGGCCTGCCCCTGTGCCCGCCCCTGTCCGCCCCTCCGCCTCCCGAGACTGGCCGGGATCCGTGCTCCGGTGCAGGTGCTGCAGGGCCAAGAGGAGCGCGCCCACAGCCCGCTGTCACCTCTGCTTGGCAGGAGTCAGGTCCAGCCCCCTGTTCCGCTGCTGGGCCGCCCTCCGCGCTGGGACCAGACTCCAACAAAACTCCCGCAAGGGAAAACTGAACTCAAACAGCTTACGCCAGGATACCCGAGGAGGAGAGATGCTGACTATCAATGTCTCTAGATCGACCAATTATGCTGTTGTGGACAGATCACACCTATGGCTTGGGTCATCTCTCCCCAGTAAACGTGGGCGGCCACCAAGGGTCTTAAGTAGATGTGGGATCCACTGAACCTCAGGCTCTGCTCAGTGCCCTCCCCCAACTGATACTCTGGATCTCTAGAGGGGCGTCAGTCTTCAGGCTCTCTGCCATCCGATTTTCCTCTTCTTGTCTTTCCCCCCATCCCACTCTATCGCTGCCTCCCCGCAGTCGGAGTCTGCGTCTCCTTTACTGGTAGCCCTTTCGCGGAATTCATTTCTGGTGTTTCTTCCGACTCCAGAGGAGCCGCTTTTCCGCTCCTATGTCCCCCAACTACTTCCTTGCAGTGGAACCTTCTTGGTTTCCCGCATCCTGAACGAGCTATGGACTGGGAACTTGAGACCCTAATGCATATCGCGGCTGCTTCGACTGTTAGACCAGCACCTACACACCGTAGGCATTCAAGAACTGTCGAATGAATGAACGAAGGAATGAATGAATAAAATAAATGAGTCGATGTGGCTTAGACACACCCCTCTGTAGAAAAGACCGCGGCGAGGAGTGGGGGGAATAGTTCCCGGAATTAGACCCACAAATATTTATGGCACGCCACCCCATGTGGAGACTCCACCAAGGCGACCTTCGAAAGCGGCAGAGTCTGAGCGGAAGGCAGTGGTGTTGGGTGTTAGACTCTGCCTTGAGTTACTGAATGCGTGACAGCAAGTCCGGTATCTCCCAAGACCTTTCCTAATCCTAAAACCCGACCGATAAGGCTGACCTCACAGGCGGTGATGAGGTAAATACAGTGAGCTCTGGCTGTGTAATCTTTGATGGAGATGCCTCTCTAGTCTCAAAGTCCCAGTGCAGTGACTGAATTTGCTTACAACGTGCGAAGCGGCTCAGAGGCTTGCAACTTCTCCGAGTTTAAGACCTAATTTTACCTCCCAGAACCCCAGATAAAATTCATCAGGGCATGTGCTTTCGGCATAAAATAGACTGGCATTTCCCTTCTCCTCGGGCCAGGGTACAGAAGCAGCGCTCTAAGGCCGGTGTTCCTTAAAGCCGGTGGTCGCTCTGCTCCCTTCCTCCCCTCCTACTGTGCAAAGCCAGGACAGCTACCAGCCAAGGGTGATGCAGCAGGGAGCTGGCCTGGAAGAAGTGTCCTGAGGTGCAGGCAGCAGAGCCACCAGGCACCATCACTAGACTGGGAATGTTTACCCTGTGTATCTACCATGGAGGCCGAAGTCCCCCATGGGGCTGGGGGAGGGGGGCGCTAGGCCATTTGGAGAGTTAGGCTTCACTACCAGGATTGCTCCCAGACTTCTCTTTGAGTGGGATAGCTCTTTGAGAAAAGGGGACAGGACGTCAGCGGATCACTGGGGGCCACTATTTTGACCCTTTCTTTGCTCTAGGGTTGGGTACTTTTAATGCAACTTCAGAGAGGCCAGTGCAGTATACTCTTCTTAAAGAACCCTTAAAGGCCCTAATCCTTGAGCTCTCCGTAAGTGGAAATTGTGCGGCTGTGTACAGAGCACCTAGGACCCGAGCATGTGCCGGTTTGTGAAAATGCTGGGCTGGCACAGTGAATAGCTCTTAGGGAAAGCTGTAGATATCTTGGCAAATCCTGGGCAAAGAGAGGGGCCAGACTCAGAGAATACAGGTTAGGAAAGTTGCTTCCAAGTAGTTAGTTTCACACATTACAGGTGGTGATAGTTGTGAGTCTGGGATCAAGTGACTGCTTTCCATCGCTCACTCACTTTCGTTACTTCATCTTTGTAATGGTGCTTCCTCTTCTTCTTCTTCTTCTTCCTCCTCCTCCTCCTCCTCCCCCTCCTCCTCCCCCTCCTCCTTCTCTTCTTTTAAATTCACTTTACATCCCAATCACAGCCCCCTCCCTGTTCTCTTCCCAGTCCTATCCTTACAAATATCTCCCCCATTGTCCCCACTCCTTCTCCCCAGAGAAGGGGGAACCCCCTCTTGGGTACCACCCCCATCCTGGGGAATCTAGTCCCCGCAGGTCTAGGCACATTCTCTCCCACTGAGGATCAACCAGACAGTCCAAGTAGCAGGGAAGGGACCTGGGAGCATCCTCTTCGCCCAGTGGGAAAGCCAGAAAAGGGTGGAGGAGACGCCAAAGGACACAGAGTTACGGTGACCCTGGCGCCTCTCCGGTCTCTGCAAAAGTCAGACTTTGCAAAAGTACTGATCAGTCCAGGAGGGTCTAAAGGCTGATGAACTGCAACAGCTACAGCACCCCTTCCCGCCCCGCTCCTCCCCGCCCCAGGCATTCGGATGCCCGATTTTACCAGTGCTGGTCCAGAACTCTCCCTCATCCCTGCCCTTTTCCTTCTCCCTCAATCCCTCTACTTTTTACATCTGTAGTTCTCTAGCCCTGGTTTTTCAGGAAGATATAACCTGACACAGAAACCCTCAAATCCAAGTTTCTTGCAATGTGTCTGTAGATTCCAGCTTTCATGTCTCCATCTGTAAACTGAAGATTAAACCAGTTACGGGTGCACATCAATGAACTGTGAAACAATAGTACAGACACATAGTGAACGTCTAAAAGGCTTAAAAGGTCAGACCTTCAAAATTCCCCCCCTCAAGGAGATTGTTCCATGACTCTGGGAGCCTGGGGAGAGGGAGGGAGACAGACAAAAAGGATTGAAGCTGGCTTGCAGGTTCCCACTTCACCAAGGCAGCAGCACCCACTATGAGCTGCAGAGACAGGGGCAGACGGTCTCCTTTGGATGCTGACAGCTGCGGTGCAGTCACTTGGAGCAAATGTCTCTTGTTGCTGTTTGCCCCTTGACCTAAGCTGGAGGTGGAAATTTTCCTCACCATCTTTGCTTACACTGATCTGTCTGTATTTGACTGACAGGACACAAGCTGGTTGCGATTGGCTTGCTCCACTCTGCTTCCATACCACCTACGGGAAGTCCACAATGAGCTTAGCATAGGCCATTGCCCAGAGGAGGAAGGCCAAGCTGTGCCTACAAGTGATGAAGCCGAGACTCCACCTGGCATCTCTTGCTGTCATACCTCAGCTTCCTGGTTCTCTTATGTCCAGAAGAGGGCATTTCACCAACCCCTGATATTCACTCTCCTTGCCCCCTCCCCTTAGCTCTTTAACTTTAGGAAGTTTCAGCAGAACTTTTTTTCACAGTCACACCCAGAGGTCAAGACTTGTCCTGGATGCTGAAACCAAAAGGGCCAAGAGCAGCTGGAGCTAGCCCAGTCCCACCTGTGTACTGTGTACACCACTCATCTCTGGTGACGTCTATTTTTTCTTTCCTCTTTGTCCTTCCGTCTCCACCTTCCTTTCCTCTTCTCCCCCATACCTTCTTCCTCCCTCCCCCATACTTCCCCCCATTCCCCTCAATGGGTTCCTCACTGGTCCCAAGTTAGCAGCCCCCATTTCCCTACAATCCACTACCCTAGAGAGCTCCACTTTTTCAACCCATAGGAAATCTTTTCAAAGCCACTGATGATAAATCCATTGAGGTTCCTAATTTAGAATAACTTTAAGAATGAAAACTCCCAGCTAGGATTTGAGATGTCATTGTAACTGAGCCAACTGGAGCAAGCAGAGCACAAGGTCACCTTTATGGATCTCACAGGTCACAGGCTCGAAGGTCCTCTCTATAGAAAGGAATTGTTCCTGAGTGTGAATAAAGTGGACTTTGATAACTCTTCTGAAATATAAGAGTAGAATATCAAAACAATGTTTTCTTAAAGTTCCAGACACCCCTAGTTCCTATGGCACCCCACAGTCCCCAAGTACCAGCTCTCCAGTCACGTGCCTGGCCAATCCTGTCTTCCAATAGATTCTAAGAGATGACAGCAGGAGGAGGACTGCCTGGGCTCTAGAAGGCCAGTAGAACTGGACACTGCTGGTTATGGAAATCTTAACCATGGAATCTGGTTGGGTCCAGCCAGGTCCAGGTGCTCATCTGTGACCTCTGAAATGAAAGATTGTGATCTGTGAGTCTGCAGGTAAGAGGAACAGGAGAGGCCCAGACAGGAACATGCTTTCTAACTTGCTTCTTTCCACTCAGAACATTTGTCAGTTCTCCCTGAAAGAAGCAGGCTGCTGCACTTCTTGGAAATGCTGTACTTAATTGGTTAGGTCTAAACTCTTGAATCCTGATAAAGGAATCAACAAATCAGCCGGGTGTGGTGCCACATGCCTGTAATTCTAGCATTCCAAAGGCAGAGGCAGGAGGATCAAGAATTTGAGGTCAGGGGCTGGAGAGATGATGGCTCAATAGTTAAGAGCACTGACTGCTCTTCTAGAAGTCCTGAGTTCGATTCCCAGCAACCACATGGTGGTTCACAACCATCTGTAATGGGGTCTTCTTGTGTGTCTGAAGACAGCTACAGAACTCATATACATAAAATAAATACATCTTAAAAAAAAAAAGAATTTGAGGCCAGCCTCAACTTCATAGTGAGTTCAAGATTAGCCTGGACTACATGAAACT